AAATATACGTATAATATTTATATAAAGTGATATAAATGAAATTGCGAACACACGGCGTTTCGGATAGACTATTTAGATACACCTTGTATCCCATGTATCCATCAAACGCTTATAATGTTATGTTGCTTAATAATAAAATAATTACGAATGCTCTTTAGTCACACACTTATTTCCAAATTTTGAGAGTGAAATTATTCAATCCAAATGGTCATCACTCCATTTAGAAAATTAATGTGCAACTAATTATGTTTTTGATGCAATATGCTTACGCATTATTAATATTAAAAAAAAAAATCGAGCTGAATAATAAATATTCTGAAAAAAGTACAAACGTTTATTGTAATATTGTAACCGACTGTGTTTATAGTTGCAAATACCGGTCAATTAGTTTTTATTCGTTTTCATAAATTATAATACAGTGATAAATTATGTAAGTTAATAAATTTATTTTAAAAGTCTAAAACCGGCGTCACACGTAAACGCAACGCATTTTAATTTTAAATTATAGATCCTAGTTTTAATTTGTATTACGTCTTTTTTTTTTTTTTTTTTGAGCATCGTGTTCTCTAATCTATCTTGATATAACACACTTCAATCGAAATGCTTTCCGTCTCGTTTAAAAAAGTCGGTATCCGTACTATTATAATATGTAAATATACACGAAAACCGACTGTATATAAAATAAATGTAAAACGATATTTTTTAGATAGGAAACAAAGTTATACGATAATAATTAACAATTTACATGGAAAGATTATCAGAGTGCCGACGTACAATATTGTCAGCTATAAACACGAGACATGTCATATTTTACAACATAATAATACCCCATTCGAACCCTTTTCAATGACATGCCTTGTCTCGGAACGTCATCTCCAAAATATCTCAGTATACAAAAATGATTTAACGATACTCTTTTAGAGGAGTCTTGTTTTTACAGGCGAGCCAAAACAAAAACGATTTCTCTGGATTTTGTTTTTGAAACGTGGCCGCCCTAGTTGATCGTTTTTCGACGTTAATAGCGTTTCCACTCTCCAAAACAGGTCAAAAATAAAGCCGATTACCTCACGATTCCCTCGCAGTAAAAAATACGTGATTTTATCCCATCATTGTCAAATTATTCGTCGGTTCCGCGCGTTATTTAATTTGTGTTACGCATAACCTACAACACTACATTCGTATTGCGACGATGAGAAAACATTTCGAAACATAACATTTATGTAGCTAATATCGTTTATTTCGTACGCGAACGGGAGGTCCGGCGAGCGTGAACGATTGACGGTGGAACTGCTGTCCCGTCGCCTGCGTCTATCGACGAAAAAGGCTTCGATTCAGCGACTGTTTTAAAAACTTAGCACTCGCTTACACCGCACGCCTGCGGAATTCGATTTGGGTTATCGCTGGAAAACGATTTGCTCTTGCGTGCCTCACGCCTCGACGATCCGTCATGAATAGACAAACTTTTCGTCGTCAAACAAACGCGACCGTAAAACGACGATGTGGCCCAGTGCGCCTTTGATGAAGTTTACGCGGAACGCCGTGGCAACCGGTGTGTAGGGGTGGTCGCAGGATCAGAAAACGTCGACGCCACCTCTCTTTTTTGGGCGTCTCGAGACGTGCCGATGCTATCCACGACGAATAAGTTCAAACGTGTTTGTTTAAAACGCAGCAGACGTTAAGTAATAATAAATAAATAATTTGTATTACAAGTAATACGTACGACGTATATTATGCCGTATCGCGTGCGCGTCAGTGGAACAATTAATAATATCGTAAAATAATGTGATTTTCCGCAACGGTTTTAGACCGTAAACGAATTCTCGAATGTGAAATGACGTGACGATGTCGGTCGGACGGGTCGTCGCTGTCGGCGCAACAGCGTCAGACTCGAAAGCCTTTGCGCCACACTGACGGTGTGTCGTACGCGACCCGCAATTATGGTAGTTGCGAGATTAATAGAAGAGTCTTTTTTTCTTTTCTGTTTTTTATTGATCAAAAAACAATATAGGCATTTAATAATTTTTAATTATATATACGATTTTATCGATATTTATCTCCTAGCTGTTGGAGATACAGAGTTAAGAGCCTTTTAAATAATATTGATTTTAAATTATAAAACTAATAACAAAATATACAATCAAGCAATATTATTTAGTACGCGATAAAAATTTACAGTTATAATAATGATTCAACATAATATAAAACATTTACAAATATTATTAACTTCTTATGTACATTGAAATATGAGTCGTAAAATAATATTAACATAGCACAATGCAAACAATTAAACATTAAAATCAGGTTTACGGTAAATTTCACAATAACTATCAATAATTACATTCGTTTATTAATTATTTTTTTAGAATAATAATTATTAATTTCTACTTTACATCAAAACCCAATGAATTAAAAAACATAGTAGACCCGAAATAATCTATGAATTATTGATCACAAGTTTTCTTCTTACGTAATTGACTTTAGCGTCTAAAGCCCTGTTTTGTCTTTTATTTTGGTATATTTCTATATACTGTTCTGCGTATTTTTATTTTTCTCTACTCAATTTATCTTTGATAACATCATACTGCTCGTGCTTCAGTGCTCGCTACTGTTGTGGACTGACGTCAGTTCGTATGAAAACGAAGCTTTGGAGAGTCGTAGCTTAATAAATCGATATCGTTAAATTTTTTTCAACACTCGAATCAAAAAACAAAAAAAAACCGGATGCACGTCTTAAATATTATTAAATTTATTTCATAAACGTACTTGATAGCGCATTTTAAGTCATGACTCATGATCATATTTTCGTACAGAGATACGTTGTTTGTTTCAATAAACTTTTTAACACCCACACATACGCGCACACACAATATATTTCAAAAAATAATTTAATTTTACTTATGACTCAATTGAAATACATTTAGAATTTTAATTCTGTTAATAATTATCCAGTTGAATTTTTCGTAACGGCGTCAAAATATTTCCGACGAATTATTAAACAATAAAATCAATAGTAGGTAATTACTACTAATTATTTTACGTATTTATTGACAGATTCGCCCAGACTTGTAAAAAAAAATTTTTTAAACAAATAGTATATAAATATATATGCATGTATATATGTATACGTTAGCGAATATTTTTTATTCTTACAAAGTTGTAGTTAACTGATCATTGAGGGATATGAATCAAAAGTATTTTCTAATTGGTTTTAATTTGACTTCGACGACTTCCTCAGAGTTTAATCTAAATTTACATTATTATAATATTTTGTAATAATATAATTACATATTCATATTGTTGAAACATCGCTAATAATATTAATATTAATTAAAATTAAAATAAAACAAATAAACTTAGTATTTTATTATTTAAAAATTACAGTTGAATTTGATGGTCATATTCCAAACTCATAACCAAACATTTAGTAATAAGTTATATGTAGTCCAATATTTAATAAAAAAAAAAAACTAAGGTCAACACTCGTCTAAAAACTTTTATAATTTAGAAATTTAGGATATTATAACAAGTAACATGTTTGGTAAATAAGTTGTTTTATTTAATTTTCCCAAATCCTTTACTTATTACAAACTCATTATTGTATAAATTATAATATGCGAGTATGCTTGATTTCTAGGCTGTTTAGTTATACAAATATATTACACGTCAAATTAAAATAAGAGACTTACTTTTACCTGTTTAGTCTTTTTTTGAAAATAAGTTAGTAAATAATTATTATATTTTGATCTTTTCTGCTATCATATCGGACTCATATTTCTACGAGTATAACCGTATTATAAACAATTTACGATCACAAAGCTTTGTTAATGCTTAAAATAAACAAAAATGAGTTTAAATTTTAAATACACAAAATTAACGTAATATTTGAAAAAATTACATTAAAAATTACACATTCTAAATTGTTTTATAACAAAACAAATTTAGTTTTTGGTTAAAATTATTGTATGGCACTCACTTAAAAAAAAAAAAAATGCAAAGTCATCAAAATTCTAGCTCTAGTAATTATAGTAATTAAACAACATGACAATATTTTTGAAAAAATACGAAAATTATCTTCTTTATATTAACAAAATAAAGTGTTAACAGAAAAAGTTGAGAACACTTAAACACATAATATTATAAAACAAATTATATAAAATAATATGATATGTCAAATATTGCTTTAAAAGCAATTACGATTTACTCACAATTTAAGGAATAATTATAATTAAAATAATGGTACTATTACTTCATCGTTTTTTTTATTATCAATTAATAATCAAAATCAGTATGTACTTCCTCAAAACAACTTTACTATAAACTTATATTGGTATATATTTTTAAATAATACTTTGTTTCGATACAAATGTATTACTTTATAAATCGCCGTTAAATTTGATCACAATTTTAAAATTCATTCGATGAATAATATAATACACATTAATACATCACTTCAATTAATTACGTATATTAATACATTTGAATCTTTTCATTTGAAAACAATAAGTACAATGTATAAATAAAAATATATATTATTTAGGCACTTAATGGCTTCCGTTAAATCTATTATTTCTAATTAAAAATATATTGTTTAATTTCTAATGAAAAATTGAATTCAACAAATTCTTCAAACGAGAATCAAAAGCCACATTGTTTGACAAATTGTTTTTCAGGCGCAAACCTGTTGTGTTCATTGAATTTCATTAATCTCTTCTTTGGAATATTCTGCAGTTACTCATTGTAATATTAGTATAATACGACGTAAACAAAACGAAGTGTATATAATACAATATGTACTATATTATCCCTATAATCAAACTTTTTGAATATCAATTTTTTTTTAAATCAACCTTTTTTCGTCAATTTATTTGGTTGAGCCGTATGATTTTTTTAAACATTTACATTCGTTTATTTTTAATAGGTATTATTATAACGACGTTCATAGAACGTATAACAACTTGATATTTATACATTAAATGAAATATTTGTTTTTAATTTTATAGATGGACCTGATGAAAATCAGCGTCGTATTGTACATCTCACTCATATTAATACTCAATAAGTATTCGGATTGTACGACTCATCCTAGGGTCAAAATGTACGGCCCTAAAGTGACAGTCATAGATCGTCGGAAACCTGAATCAAAAATTGGACAAGACGTAATTAATGAGGTAAAAATGATTTCTCAACCCGAAGACTTTTTGGGCGAACCTAGCTGCCTTGAATTGCGTCTAATGTGGCGCACATATCAGCGGCAAAATCAATTGACACAGTCGGCCAACAATTTACCGCTGACTTTCGATCCATTTGCATTCAATACGTGGGAAGATTACATCAAGCCAAGATATATAAACAGACAAAAATCACTGATGTTTGAAAGAACCATGCCAGACAGGTAATATTATATGTTATTAATACAGTTAATGACTAAATATTGTACAAACAACGTACAATAGTGTGTGTATTCGTTTAAATTAAATTTCAGAATAATTGTTGAAAACTCACATTTTTTTAGTATTTATTCATCAAAATATTACATATACGTATAGTTATTAAGAACTAAAATTTTATTGAGATTAATATTAGAAATGGTTCTCAATGATCTTGTCGAATTCTTGATCAATTATTATTTAGTTAACGGTTCATTAAACTAGTTATGAATTGCGACTTGTTATACTCCAGTATTTTCTGATTTTATATTTTAAAAAATAATAAAGAGTTTTACCGTCTGGCCACTAAACTTTCATCTACTATTTCTCAAATTATTTTTGATTTCCTCAATTTTAAAGAGTGGTAATATGTTTCTTTTATACGATTAACGCCATGTATTCAAATTATTAATCATTCATAAATAAGTTTCTAAATTTATATTTTTAAAAATATCAGATTATTTTTGTTTTACATTTCTTTGTAATATAGTTAATAATAAAAATAAACTAAAAACATTTCTTATAACAGCGGTACAGTGCTTCACATCCTTAAGTCTTTAGTCGATCACCGACTTACTAAGTAAATGTCTTTCATAAATAATCTCTTCTGAAGTAAAAATGATTTTCCACTCATTTACAGCGCATTAATCTTAGTGTTCTCTTACATCCTATCCAAAACATACCTTCTTTCTTTTTTCCTTCATACTTATAGACTATCTGAAAAACAAAACAATTAACTACTAACTAAGATAAGAAAATAATATAAACACTTTCTTTTAATTTTTTTTATGTAAATGTATTTATTATTTTATTAATTTGTGCATTTTTTTATGATTGTATAATCATATCATTTGTAACTTTGTCCTACCCCGATTGTTTTTTTTTTTCGTGGACAATGTAAATATCGCAAACATAACAAGAACAAATCAAAACACAGTTAGTGTTAAAAATTGTATTAATAATCTTGAAAAATTTTCACTAATGACTACCTAAAATTAAATATTGATAAATAGTGTGCTTCACTTTAGTAGTAATAATAATAATAATAATAATGAAAAACAAAAACCATTAATTTTAATTATTGAATTTTGATTTAGAATCTAATTTTAAAGGTCTCTGTGTAATGTTTGATTCATAATAAATTTCTCTAATAATAATGAAACGAAAAAAATTAATAAGGTAATGCGCAACCTTAGAATAATTAAAAGAACATAGTATAGCTTAGGTACTTAATTATCAAACATATTTTAAGGCGCACAACTATTTTCACGCTCGCTCGAATAATACCTTTTAATTTCAATCAATAAAACATCTAAAGAAAACGAAGTCATCGAATACCTAAAAATATATTTTTTTACATTTTACCTGATTTAAATTTAACATTCTCAAAACCATTTATATGAACCGTATAAAACTGCACTAATTTTTCTTAATTTATTTCCGATTAATACCAGTCGTTTGTTTTTATTCTTACATAATTTAATATGTAATGTAATTGATTACCCTAAAATCCTTTCTCTTTCCCACTTCAAAATAAATTTTTTCAATACCAAAACATGTTTATCAAACGTTTCCTAATAAAATGTATCATATTACAAGCTGTTATACCAAATTTTTAGTGATTATAGTGATTACTGATAATATTATATTTCGATTTTGACTATTTTTAGTACCTATGATATAGGTAGTGACTATATTATAATCTTTAGATAAATGAACAAGTATAAATGAAATTACTTTAATGAAATACTTATTGCAATATCTTAGTATTGTAAATATCATAATTCGTATTGTGCTTTAGTACCATTGCATTTATTTGTATCAATATTTATTTAGACCATTTATTTTTAAATGATCATAATCTCAAAATATTCATTTATAATTTATTATCGTAAACAAAGTAGTTAATATTTAGTATAACTGGTTAAAACCATGTAAACAATTTCATTACAAACATAATATGAAAAGTATAACAATCAAAATGCAACGATAGAATATAATATATATTATATAAAATCATTATTATATGTGAGGTTGTGATTTTACTGAATTCGCATATTTATCGATTCCATTCTAAATTCTAAATAAATTAAAAATAAGTATGTTTGATTTAATACATGCTATAATAATATGATGATAAAGTGGTCTATAGATCAATTGAATTCTGTTATAAATAATAAATTGTATTTTGTATTTGTTTTTCATATTTTTACGTGAATATATCGAAATGCACACACTAGATATTTGTTTTTTTTTTTATGTTTTACTGCACATTTTTCAAAAGCATTTTGTATTTAGTATATTATGCAAATATAATATAAATCAGTATGATATTTTTATCATAAAAAATGTATTTTACATATTGAGTTCTTTTAAAAAATATTCTTTATTTTATTAAATTTACGTATTATTTTTTTCATAATATAAATTATCTATATTCTATACATAATTATGCACATAGGTATTATATAAAATTCTTTTCAAGCCAAAGACATATTTTTGAATAAATAAAGTACTTATATTTTTATACTTCATGACTTCCTAGTTTTGGAATTGTAAGTGCCTACATATAAGTAATATCATGTGTAAATGTGCAATTCGTGGATTATTAATGTATTAAACACAATGTCTCGACTCGTAATATTACCATATAATATTTAAAATATAATTCACATTCAATTTACTATGATTTTCCAGGTTTCATGTTTACAGGCAACTTAGACCGTTTGAAAAAATTGCTAGGCTGACCACTACAACGAGGGCTATCATGGACGATCAGTTGACGAGAAAAGCAAATTTATTTCGTTTGGGTTATCATCCCTTAACTAAAATACCCGTAATTGCCATGCGCCTAACGGCCAAAGACAGATTTCAAGAACTCAAAGAACTGATGCGCCACGAAAAATCGAACAATTACCCAACGGGAGACGCCGAAGACGAACCGTTTTCCTCCGTACCGATCACCGCGGCGTCGGTCACTTCCAATGGCACTGCAGGCAAAAAGCGGCCAGGCTACGAGTCGTTGATGTCGCGACCCAGGCACTTTTCACAAGGGCACTATATGAACGTGAAACCTAATGGTGAAGAGATCGACGATACTGTGACAGTTACACCACAGGCAATTATGGTTTTTATTTTTTTTTTTATTTTGTAACTGTGGTTTCCAAACATTTAATGCGCGATTATTAAACAAGAGAGATAGAGGTAAATACACTACCTACTTGCACTTATTTACAAACCATTGATGTGGTCAACTGTAGGTACAATCTATCTCGTTGTTAACTTTAATCATATTTTCTTCATTACAATAATTGATATTATGTGGTCATAATAAAAGCCGAAAAAAAGTATAAAATAAATATCAAACTAATTTATTATGCAAATTTCACTACAATTTATGAGACACGTGAGATAATATTAGACTAAGAGCGGATCAATGTGTTTATTTAATATTAAATAACGATCAGGGAAGACTAAAAAAAAATAATAATAATAAAAAACCGCGCGTAAACTGATACATTTACGGGACACCAATATTTGAATAAATCGATTTTGTTGTTGTTTTTTTTTTTAATTCAAAAACGAGTGTTTTTAAATGTAGTGTTCACCAAATATTTATTCCACTGTTAAAAATCGTAAAGTCATAGATATGCTATTTTATTAACTTTTGCTATTTTACAATTTTAAAAATACTTTAGCCGTTTTTGAGCAGTTTAAAGACGTGTTTACACCGTTTTACCATTTTTCTTTTTTTTTCTTTTTTAGTTTCTCTTCGAAAAAAGGTTAAGTTAAGTTAAGTTGATAAAAATGATTTTTTCTGTCAAAAAACTTGTAAATGTATTAACATTATACAACAGATTCTTCATAAATTTTTCCCACTATAATAATATGAGCATTATTTTTTTTTATAATTATAATATTATATAACGATAATAAATTTGCACATTTCAGTACGCATCACGTTAATTCATCGTACATAAATATTTTTTCAAATACAAAAACCACTAAGTATTTCTAGACTTTTGTTTTTTTAATTACTCTCGGAATTATGTAGTTGAATATGTGTCCTTCGTAAGATTTTGCAAATATTTACAACGATGCGTTTACATAATTTTAGTCTGTTTAAGCTAATCTAAGCTAACTTTTCACTGAGAATATAAATTTATAAATAGAGACAATTAAAATCTTAGTTATTAACTATTGAAATATTTAATATAAATTTTATATTTATTGTCTATATGTTTATTGTTTAAATAAATAAAATATTTCTCATTATATTCAATTATCAAAAATTCAAAGCAATGTGGTTCATATTTGTAAATTCAGAAATGATCTTCTGCAATTGATTTTTTAAATTAAATTAAATTTTTTATTACCAGTAGTTATAACATTAACCAACTGTTATTCGAAAAAAAACTAAAATAAACTAAACTACCCCAATTTTAAATCAGGATATGAATTTTATTTAGTATTGACATTTAATGTATATTTTTCGTGGCTATTTATATATAAGATAAGTACCACGTTTATAAAATAATAACCATACTTAAGACAAGCTTGTTTGGCAATCTATTATCAAAGGCATTTCTAAAGAGGAAATAAGACATTTATCCTAAAGACTTGTTTTTTATAACAACTATTGTAGCAATAACGTTCATATTATAATAATTGTAGTCCCATAAAAATATCCATCGATCAACGGGCCGATATAATCTTTAGATGGTAATTTAAGTACACTCTAATTTATGCAAACCCCTAGCAAACAGCAAACTATTTATTATTTTTGAATTTATCCCCATTCATCTGCGATGGGTTAGGTTAGGTAACACCTTCTCTATTCATACCACAGCTTCAAACAATAAACTGAATTTAAAGGATAAATATGAAGTCGAATAAATCTCAATTTAAACATTTTAGAAATCTATAGTGCTTAATTTGATTGATTACGTTTTTGAGTTTAATATTTCAGACTTCTTATTTATCCTCACTTTCGAAATGTCGTGTACAATAAATTGTATAATGAGTTCCATTAATTAATTGTTATATGTATATTAATAGTGTGTTTCGTGTTTACAGTATAAATCTTCGCCACTTAACAGACCATGGAATTCTAGATGGTAAATGTCATAAAGACAATATTGCGTCGACAGTAAAGCCCAGAATACCTAAGTACACAATATTATGTTCATATATATTCAAAGCAAATCCAACGTCCATTCACAGAAACTTATCATTTGTCTTCCTTCCGGCGATGAATTACCTGATCTGTTACGCTTGTTCTTGTGTATAAATAAAACAAGATTAAGGTAAGCATAGATATACTTATTGTTCATCATATTATATTGATTACATTTTAAACTAACAATTAATTTAATTAATTTTTTGTGTAAATTATTATTAATTTTGAATGCCTGTTAAAATCGTGTTTCTTAATAATTGAACAACACTCGTATTTATAAACCACTACATAATTAAGCGCAGAATAAAAATTGAATTGTGATTAAAAACGTAGTTACTATAAATAGAACAGCATAATATTTATATTTATTATAAAGTTAAGATAATATTATATACTTACACACAACTATGATTAATATTTTATGTTTAGATCGTAAACCGTTACACTTAATTTTTATTGTATCTGACGTTGATAATTATTATAATTAAACTTAATTTCTTTTGACAATTGCAAGGGTCTTATGTAAACTGGTTAGATATTTAATTTTCATTAACATTTCAAAACAGAGATATTATATATTATGTTCTATTGTAATAGGCCACACTAGAAACTTATTAATCAAATTTACGAATAAAAAAATGACAGTATATTTACAGAAACGATTTTGCGATCTTTTTTATTTGTTATAATTAATCATGAGACATAAAATCTATAACATAAAACGAAAATAATTGGATTAATAATTAAACAATTTATTTTATTATACACATAATTTAAATAATACAAAATCTTTTGTAAAATGGAGTCTGAATAAACTAATATAAATAGGTAATACAAAAATTAAGATAAAAAACTTTAAGAAAATATACAATTAAGCCCTATTTAAGGATTGTACGATTATGGGCAACATTAACTCGTCGCATATTTCTATAACATTATAACTTTAAGCAAATATTATAAAAAAAACATTTTATTAAAAAGCATTAAATTAAAATACATAAATACTTTCACTAAGCTTTAATTTGTCTTTTCATTGCTCCCCTGTAGATACTAAATCATACCAATACCTACAGTTTAAAAAAAAAAAACTATTATTAAACAACACTTGTAAATAATAATTAAATAATTGATTCATGTTTCGAATGAGTTTATGATTATATTATATCATGAATGATGTTGAGTGAAATTATTTTTATTGGAAAAACAAATATTTAATTTAATTTTTCTTTTTTTTAACAGTGCATTTAGTTTACGATAATCGGCAAATGACAATCAAATTATAAACAAATATTATTTTGTCATATCCAAAAAATAACGAAAATAAAAACATAAAATATCAAAGTATCCTAAAAATGATAGGGAAGCTTTTTCTGCCAAAAAGATTTGCTATACGGTATGCGATAACATGCGATAACTATACCAACGATTGCACGTAATTACATGTATGACGCAATGTGATATTTCAACATCTTTCCATTTTATTATAATCGGAGTTCGGGAGTAATAGCGGAAAAATTCTTAGTATAAAAATTAAAATACCAGTTTAAATAATTTTCAAAAATGTATCATGTCCACTTAAATATAAGAATTAGAGCAACGATTTCTCAAGTCAAACATTCCATTTTAATTGATTATTAAATGTTTAACAGATAAATCATAAAATGTTATAGTTGTTATTGTATACAGCCGATTACGTGAAAAATTATCTTATTATTTGGAATTTAGATAATTTATAATAAAAATGATTTATATTAGTATGAGACTAAGCTTTATGCTTAATATTTGGTTCCTGATATAGGATATCTATTTATTTTAATCAGGCAATAAAAAGTATAATTATTCCAATTTCACAATTTATCCATAAATTGCATTTGTGAATATGATAAAACATCATTGTTTACCTGTAGTAAAATCTATAAAATATACAAATACCTCTAAAATATATAAAACAACGCTTCCTCTATAATCTAAAATAAATGTTTATTTCCAATTTATTTAATTCAGATTTTATAGGTACCTATAGGGCATATTCAGGTATTAAAAGGGTAAAAAGTCCAAAAAAACAATTGGTTAATTGAAAAAATTAATTAATTATTAAAGTTAAAACGAATAACTGCTTAAAACTTAATTTAAAAAATGAATCTATTTAATTTATAAAACATATTCCTAAATCCTTTGAAACATTATTTTATATAACTATTGCAATGTATATTTCTATTAATAAATATCTAGTCTATTCAAATACTCACCTTGAAAAAAAATTATTTCACTAAACTGCATAATATTTTATGCATTTCAATAATACATAATCAATCGCAAAGAATTTCTCACATAAATTGTTTAATGTTAAGAATTATTCGAGTTTTGATTAATTCCATTGTTTTAAAAACTTGAGATAGATATTTGAATTTTGGGCGTTGGAACTTTACGGTAAAATAAAAATTCTGGTGAAATTGTACTTGTAAGTGGTTCCATATTATACTCAGTTTATGTATACGTGTTACTTCTAATGCATTAAATATAGAAATTCAACTACCATAAACCGTGCTTATAACATACACATCACTACGTAAAATAAAAAGTCAACACGTTTTTTTCATCATGCTTTGTCAGACTTCATTTTACACAATCACTATCATGACAATAATATCATTGATAAACGTCAGATATTTTTCAATAAATATTTCGTATCGTTGGTTTTCTGTCACTTTTAAACTCAACATATAACGTTCGTCTCAATAAAATGTATACAATTCCGAAAAGTGCACACTCTTGTCCTGTTATACTGATATAGATAAAAGTGTAACGGAATAACCACCAGACGTTTTAGTAAATATTCAATAAAATAAATTATGGTTGTGTAATTAAAAATGTATTATTAATATTAATATTAATATTGTAATTACTATAATTTAATTAGTTTATTATCATTTACCAGTATTCTAAATATTTGATAAACTATATGGATATGATATTTAATATAAAACATAAACTATTTCTACGGCTTCTTGCTATTTTAATCTATTTTTGCTCAAGTGAGATTTTAATAATACAAAAACATAACTATTGTAGAATAACTTAATATACGTAATATAAAAAGGTAATAATTAAATTTATATTATTATTTATTAATGATGCTTTTGAATATCTAGGATAGTATATAGAAACATAATAATTAAATAACAAATATTATATAGGATAAATGTTTGTGTTGATTATTTTACATTACTTTTTATTTTGTAATAATTATTATTACCGTTTTAAAGGCTATTCACCTTGTCTGTCGACAAGGGGCCTTAATAATAAAGACAGAAAAGTGAGACTAAATTCCTGTAACATGGGAATTTGGATATTAGTTTAAGTTAGGTTGACGTGTGAAAATATATATAAGGTATCATTAAGAATTAAGTTTAGATTACAATTAAAATATAAAATAACTATTAATTTTAGTATAATTATTATTATCGTCATTGATACAAATTATCATCAAAAAAGTAATAAAAAAGAAAATATAATAATAGTTCAACATATAATAAAAGACAAAAATATTTTATTTATAAAATATTGTTAGTTTAATGTACTTAGTACTTTCAAAAAAAAAAAAATTAAAATTAAATAAAACATAATATAATCTGTTCAAAACGTTATAAAAGTTTCTCGTTGAAGATTTGGATAAATATAATAGTTAATAAATAGATATCAATACTTAAATTTGGTCAATACGATGATATTATGTATCTTAATTAGGTTATGCATATGTTTAAGTAAATAGGTTGTATGTCTTATAATTATAATAAATAAAATATTTTATATTGTTTATAACATTCTAATTATTTTGAAACATTTTTCTATAGTTTTCATGAAAAATAACACATTTACATTTTGTTTAAAGTAGATTTTGGCTTATTTTATTTTTACGTATGTTCTCCTAAGCCACGTAATAACATAAATAAAATACTTTAAATTATCTTACTCTAATTTAAATAAACTTTAAGTTAAATATTATTATTATTATTATTATTAATATTCTATATGGGGATCAATATTAAAAATTTATTAGATATAAATGAAGATATTTAGAATAAAACTTTAGTTTAAAATAACTGCTTTAAATTGACATTTATTTACTAACGTTAGTAATGTGGTTTGAAAGTTACCATTTTTCACTTATCATCTCAAGCGTGATGCTGAATGATATTATAAGTTATTTGATTTTGAAATTTTAAAAATAATAATAATAATAATAATACTCTATTTACAACGTTTTAATATTAATAAAATATTTCATAAATTCATATTATTATAAGAATTAGTACGTAAGCAAATATTTTAAGTTATTTACTGTAAGAGTGGAAACTTCTCGATTAAATAATCTTGAACAATTTAATTACAACTACCTATTTTATGAAACTATTAAAATATAATTCGTTGTATTTTATTTCTTAAACTAGATCATATTATTTAATGATAAAATTCAAAAACACGCTAATATAATAATATTAAAAAATTGTTTCGTAAAATATCTAAAATTGCGTTTATTTGATAGTGTAGGTATAATTCATTACATTAACTTATCGGTATTTAAAATTCATCGCATTAACCTAATAAATATTATTATATCATATTTTTTATTCATTTTAAGTATTAATATTTTAAAACATATATTATCTACATAGAAAATAAATGATATTTACATAATATAATACATATAATAGAATAAAATATTAAATATGAAACCTTTTAAGGAAAAAAATAATATATATATTATGTGTATTAATATAATTTTTAAAAAATAACTTTAAAGCTGCGTCGATAACATTTTATTATCAGGTAAATTTTAAAGTAAAACACGATAATTTGAAAAAATATATATTACTCTAACAGGCATTCAAGATTATAATAATACAAATATATTAATAAATTGTACTGATAATTTTACAGTTTAAAATAAAAAAAAAAGATAATTTATAGTACTTTAATGACAATAAAAAAAATCATGAATTAATTTTAAGCAACTAATATATTATATAGTAGTACTTACCTATACTTTATAGTATAATATAATATAAAATTTTATGACAATAACGAAAAGTGAGATTCGCATGTAACCGTAGTTTGATAATAATTATATATTTTAATTTATATTTAAAATTTCCATTAAGTTTTTGTTTGACTGTTTATTATATGTTAAAATGTATGGGTAATAATGATATTATAATGTTGATATGTTATATACTATTGGTGATATTGTTTTTG